ACAGACAACCTCTCGTCAATATGCGTTTTTCGCATTGCATTGCTGCAAAAAAACGCATAAAAACCAGACTCTATATCAAATGAGTAGCGTGCAGGATATCACTGCGACACGCGAGAAGGTAAAATCCAAAGGACAGGGCATGTTACTTACCTAACTCATAACTGGTAATTCGCGAAAAAGTAAACCGCCGCTTGAAGTGGCACAAATACATCGAGCAAATTAATGACCACAGGACCTGATGCGGCCTGAGCTTTGCTTTCGGTCCTGTCCCAGTAGCATTACTTACAGCGATTGTCTTATCGGTACTGGCGATCTTATTATGTATGGATTTTGGACTTGGTCGTGATTCTTTTTTTGTTAGCGAGTGGGTGCGTTGCACCAAAATTTTGGAAATATTTAAAAGCAGGTGGCTGCTCTTCTTCTAAGTGCATATGCTTCTGACAAAGAGAAACGAAGGGTTTTTGACTTTTGACATTCGGACTTGATCATTATGGTGCCAGTAAGTTTGCCTGATAAAGATGAAATTCCCTAAAGCTCATTGTTTGTTCCGAACTTTGCAAAAAATGCCTGAGGGATTAGTTTGCTAAACAGTTTTATAAATTGCTCATCATGGAATCTTGGATTTTTTACAGGAATACGGGTTGTCAGCACAGTGGACGTTCACTGGAGCGTTTCTCTATTCCTTAACAGTCATAACAACGATTGGCTATGGTAACACATCCGCCAAAACATATTTCGGCAAAACTCTTACTATTTTATTTGCTATAATTGGTGTGTTCCCTTTTCTTGAATTTTGGGGTTTTGTTAACTTGCTAAAAATGACTAACGGGGTTTTTTCTCAAATCAGCGGGGCTACATAATTATCACACGTCGGGGTCATCCGCAATAATTCAATAAAATGGAAAAAAGAGGTTTCGCTTGAACGTCGCATTTCAGTCAGTGTGGTGATTACTCAGTTGACCTAACTAATGTTACTACCAGAAATAATTTGAATTTTTGCAGAAAAAAAACCTCCTTCAAAAAAGTGAGGAGATGGAACAAATAAAAAGAGACTGGAAGCAAGGCATAGAGGAGCGAAAGGAGGGTTGAAAGTCACTAAAAAATCAGTACGTTGTTTTAACAGAATAACCCTTATGGTGTAAGTAATTTCCAACATCTGTTCAGTATTAAAAGCGAAACTAATTATTAGGTTTAGGTAGAATTATAAACGCCATTCAGAGATTAAATATTTACTAACAGCGAAGTATGTTGGAAATACTAAAGGTAAGTATCCGTAGAATATTTGAAAGATTAGTAGTTTAGCTGGGATTTTGGTCAACTAAGCTGCATATGTCTTAGCTCAGTGTCACAACTGAACTTCGTCAGTATAGCAGTTCTAGCATAAATTATTATATAATAAATAAAACTTGGTACTAAAGAGATAAAAAGGTATAAAAGAAGCTGCGGAAGATTGTGAAAAGATAGAAAGGGAAGTTTGTGAACTGCCCTATTAATATCCTAATAAACACTGCACGCAGTAATTCAAAATTTTAGTTGCCAGTGTTACTGGAGAAAAAGGGGCTACTTCACCACGGGAGATAAATTAATCCAGCTTATCACAAATTAGCATCCATGCTGTTGTTGTTATCTGTCTCACATTCACAGGCATACCTCTAATGTTGCTTTTTTTGACGAATATTGGTGATGTAATGGCAAAGATTTTTCGATTTTTCTATGCACGATCAATACGGCTTAAATATCGCCTCATTTTATGGCATAAACGACGAAAAGCTGCTGAACTGCGCCGTGCTAATTCGCTTGTTTCCAGGCTGACACGAGCAAGTTTTTGCTTCTAGCAAGTCACTAGTTTTCGGAACTCACTTGTTTTGATACTTGGATCAGCTGCAGCTTTGAGTTTGGTCTTCCAGTACAGTAGTTTAAAAATTTTTCTGTTGCTTTGACCACTGTTGCATCGGCTGGATTTGTGTGGGAAAATTAATCCATTATTAAGGGAAAATTCGTTTCTTCTCTTGAACAGACTATCAGATTAATAACTGTTCACCCGATAGAAGCACTTGATGTCATTGCAGCCGTTTCAAAAACTCACTATTGTGTGTTGAAAATAACTAATTTTTTAAAGCAGTCATCGGCATTTTTGTTGGCTACACATCTGAAGAGCTTCACGGGGGATATGTCAGTAGTGAAGTAAGAGCCGCTTTAAGTATGTTACTTTTTTGTAGGGCGTAAAGATGGATTCATCAATGGATTCGTTCGGGCTCGGTGCCGATGTTCAGGATTTGCTGACTGCTCGCGCACAAATCGAACAGCTCGAAGTAACTATTAGTCGCTTTCATTGACTTTTATTCCTATTTTTAGTGGTTTTTCTAAGATAAGCAAACTTAAAACGGAGAGTCTTTTGCGGGAGCAGCTAAAATAATAAAAGCAATAATAATAACGATAGTGTTAATAATAATGGTAATGATAACAATAGAAGTAGTGGCAATGATAATGATGATGATAATAATAGTGATAATAATAATAATAATAATGTCAAGCTCTTCGAGTTGAGTTGTTACTCCTAGCTAATATCTGCCCTCTGTTCCGAATGTGTATTCCATTTCTTCGAAATTGACCCCATTATTTCATGGACACCCCTCACTAATGTATTTTTTCATGATGGATAGTCACCTAGAAGAAAAATTACGATGTCCAGTAAGTGGAGCAGCTTTGCATTTCCAAATTAACTGCATGAACAGCTTAATGTAATTGCTTGCAGGTAAAGGAGAGTGTAGAAGCGCAGTTGCAGCGGATATCAGTACCATTGAGCCTAGTGTTTTTCACAATGTTTGCTTATCTAGTTGCCGGTTCCGTTTTGTTCTGTTTGTGGGAAGGATGGACATTCCTCGACAGCTTCTACTTTTGCTACATCTCATTGACGACCATTGGTACAACTTTCGTTAACCCAAATCTTTATTTGCCAGTGGTTGAATGAGAATTGTGACTGGCAAGGTCAAGTGACTAACAGGATCAATTATTATCAAATTTGTTTAGAATGGACTGAGTGTGATCTTGCCAGGGATAAAAAAAAACGATATGAAACCTCAAATTCTTCCTGACAAACAAGTATTTAGTGTCCTCCAAAAATTTTTGGAGGAAATATCCGGAAATTTCTAGGTGTCCTTCTCGGAACATAAATTGCTGCAGCTTGTGTGAATCAATTGGTTTTCAGGATTTGGTGACAAATTTCCTGGGGCGTCAGTGGGGAATGACAAAGATGCACAAAAGAAACTTGTGATAACTTCTGTATATCTTTTGTTTGGAATGGCACTGTTAGCGATGTGCTTCAATCTGGCGCAGGAGGAGGTAATTTCTTGGCTTCTTCCAATAATTGCTGATTGATTCTATTAAGTACGTCTGCATATTCAGTTTGGGGATTCGACGTTCGCGATATTACTGGGTTTCTCTCACGCGCCACATAAATATATGATAATAATTACAGTAATGATAATAGCAATGATGATAGTAATAATAATCACAAAAATAATATTTGTAACAATAGCATGAATAAAAAGTAATACAATAAAAATGATTCTTTGAAATAATAATAGCCATAATAATAATGACAACAGTAGCAATAACAACAACAAAAATAATAATAATAGTAATAGCAACAGTAACAATAATGTTGAGCATCACCACCTTGTCTCAAACGCTACCACTTTTAGACCCATACCGACTAGAGAATTATTCTTATTATTATCATTACTACTTTTATTATTATTACTGGCTAGTTATCAAATTTAATAATAACAACAACAATAGTAATAATAATAACAAATATGAATATTTCTTTAGTCGGTGTGAGTCAAAGAGTGCCAGCGTTCGAAATGAGGCTGTGGTACTCAGCACACATCAAACGCATTCCAAACGGCTAAGCCTTTAC